GCCGCGCTGTCGGACGGTCAGTGCCGAGGGAGCGCCGCGCTGTCGGAGGGTCCGTGCCGAGGGAGCGCCGCGCGGCCGAAAGTAATGGCCTTTCGGTGAAATATAAACTGTGGCCCCACATGCTGTCTGTTTTGATGTCGATGAACACTATTTCAAAGAGGAAGGGACGGGGGAGAGTGTGTTTCTCCCAATGTCCAGATCCAAATGAATCCATCGTTCAGCATCATCAGCTCCTGATCTCCCCACTGATGTGGGAGCTTGCTGCTCTGTTTTTTTACGTTGCAAACAGAGAGTCCATTACAGAAAATCAATGTGAGGGTATTTGAATATCCTGATGTTAGAAAAGGCATTCTAGAAGTGAAAACTTGTCATTCTTGTTGGACATGGTGCCCTGAGCAATAAGCCAAGCCCCAATCTCCCCAGAGTCTGGGGGCCTGCTGTAGTCCAGTCAGATTTTGGGTGTGGGAGCAGGAATTGAACTTTCCATCCCCACAGGGACTCCCTCTGTCTGGCTGTGGCAGTGACCTCAGCGGAAGGTAGGGGTTAGCGATGAGGATCTCCGACCCAAACACACAACAGGAGGGTAAGTCAGGCTTACATCTCAACAAGGAGCAGCAGAAGGCCATTTGGCCCCTCAATCCTGCTGCACCATTCACTAAGCTTATCAGATTGTATCCTGAAATCCACATTCTCTCTCCTTTGGAAACAGTGGCACCCGATTTGGGGCTCGAGTCCTGTACCCAGTGGCTAGGGGACACATGGTTTGCTTAGTGAGCTAGCCAGGGGTAAGACCATCAGAAATATGAACAGGAGTAGGCCATTCAGCCCCTTGAAACCACTCGCCATTCAATAGGATTGTGGCTGATCCTACATTCCTCACATCCACTTTCCTGCCCCCTTTCCCCATAACCCTCAATTTCCCGATTGATCGAGAATCTCTCTTTTCTGAAGAAGGGTCTAGGCCTGAAACGTCAGCTTTCCTGTTCCTCTGATGCTGCTTGGCCTGCTGTGTTCATCCAGCTTGTTATCTGAGAATCTCTCTATCTCGGCTTTAAATATACACAAGGACTCCGTCCCCACAGCTCTCTGTGGCAAGGAGTTCCAAAGACACTCAACCCTGAGAGAAGAAATCCCTCCTCATCTCTGTCTTAAATTGGTGCCCCTTTATGCTGAATCTGTGCCCTCTGGTCCTAGACTCTCCCGTGAGGGGAAACATCTTCTCAGCACTGAGCCTAACAAGTGCCTTAAGAGTCCTCCCTCTGCCCCAGACTGAGTTGGCAGCAGGGCCCCTTATTCAAGCCGTGCAGCGATCGTACAATAAACGAAAGCTTGTTTAAGACAAGAGCCCTTTCCCATGGGACCACTGAGTGCATTTCCTTCCACTACTTTACACCAATTAGATCCTTAGACCTGGTCACAGAAAGAGGATGGTGCAACCACAGCAGTTGGCAGTTTGTGGGCCAGAGCTGCGTCCATCGATTGTTGTGTGTGGGCTCCAGACTGATAGCCAGCGCCTCCTGCTGGATGGTGCAGGAGCAGGGGATTGGGTGATTCGGGAGGCCATAGTTGAATACCCCACCATGGAAATTGGCTGTTGGATTCACAAGGATATATCCATCGCCAACCTGCCCCAGCAAG